TGATGTGTCTGTCCTTCTCATGTAGGGCCTGATGTGTCTGTCCTTCTCATGTAGAGCTTGATTGATGTGTCTTTCCTTCTCATGTAGGGCCCGATTGATGTATCTGGCCTTCTCATGTAGCACCACGTGAGTGTGTCTAGTTTGGGTTCAGCCGTTTTGATTATCAGTTATCTGTGTAACAAGCCACCTCTAAACTTAATAGTTTTCAAGATAATTATTGATCAGGGTTTGGGGATGCTTGCTCTGCTCTGCTTAGACTCATCTGGGGCTGCTCAGTGTGGGGCTGGAGTGTCCACATTTACAGTAGCTCACTCACATGGCCTCCAAATTGGTACTAGCTATTAGTTGCCATGAGCTGTTGGCTAGGACCCAACAGAATCACTTTCTATTCCTGGGCTGCTTTGGGTTTCCTCACAAGATGGTGGTGATTTTTAAGAGTTAAGCATCTCAAGAGAACAATGTAAATGCATAGTACTTTCGTGATTTCTCCTCAGAAGTAATTTAATGTCACTCTCACTATACATTCTTGGTCAAGTCAATCACAAAGGCTGACCTGGATTCCAAAGGAGAAGCTGTGAACTCCACCTATAAATGACAGAGGGGTGGTATTCTAGAGGGGGATGCAGGGCAGGAGATACTCTTGTGGTTACCTCTAGAGAATACACTTTGGCACACCAGCTGACTCTTTCTCATTGGCAGGTGCCATGAAAAGATGAATAGCCATTTGGATATCTCTGAATGAATATATAGTACATGCTGTTATACTTAGCTAAGATGTTCACCTTCAAGATACACTATCCCTACCTCCATCTGTACTAACCATCAGGATTTCTCTGTTGTCCAAGAGTTAGTTACACTTAGATGGCACACTGAGTAATGTAATAACAAGACCTTGGAATTAGAAGTATTAGGATAATATAAGATGATGTTTTTGATGTGTGGATATTTACGCATTGCGGAGAGAAATTGCCAGGTGTGAGCTGGAACAGTCATTCTTCACTCACTATTGATCATATGAACATAGTGTTGTATTCATGGCACCTTCTGGGTGAGCATTCCTCCATCAGGGAGAACTTTCATTTCACCCAAACACCAGGTGCCATTGTCAAGCATTTACTTCCTGAATATCTTTCAGGTCAAAGCTAAATCATTAAATATTGCAAAGAAATGCACACATAATCAAGTGAGCATTTTACAAGAATTCATTGTTTTTCTTGAGTAATTACTGATAAACATAACCTAGGTTGTGGATCAGAGTAAAAAGAAATGACTGTTCTATAAATGCATTGTATAAGCCTGCGTGGAAGTTTTAGTGTTAAGGGAAATGGGGTAAAAACTCTTTATTAACTTTTTTTATTAAAACATATTTGCAGGTTTAAGGGCAGTAGAAAAGGGGATTGGGAGTTTAAATTTTGGTATATGATGTTCACTAAGGTTTCCTCTATTTTATAGGTTGTTTTGCAAAAACACTTGTAGAGCATGTTGGTATGAAGAACCTCAAGTCCTGGGCCAGTGTAAATCGAGGTGCCATTATTCTTTCCAGGTATGTAGAGCGTGTGGCTTTCTCTTTGCAGGACGTGGGCATGTAAAAGATACTACTTCCTTCGTGTGCATTTCTCAGTTCTAGTATTTGTTCCTGGTAGTCTGGTATTATTGTCAGTCACTCGTGGTCTAGACAAGTATACCAAATATTAGAAAGCAAATGTAGCTCTTTCACTCCATCCTTAGGGGGTTTTACTTTTTTATTTTTTTTTTAAACAGAGCCTCATTCTGTCACCCTAGGTAGAGAGTACCATGGCATCATAGCACACAGGGTTCAGGTGATCCTCTTTCCTCATGCTCCCCAATAGCTGGGACTACAGGCGCCATCACCACGCCCAGCTAGTTTTTCTCTTTTTAGTAGAGATGGGGTCTCGCTGTAGCTCAGGCTGGTCTTAGTGAATTAGTTGTGTTCCTGTGAAAACTATGATTTTATTATTTTTTAAATCATGCTTGACTGTACTTGTAATTTTATTTCAATGCTTTCAAAGATTCTAAAAGTATTAGGCCAGGTGGTACTGTAACCCTAGCACTCTGGGAGACAGAGGGAGGTGGACTGCTTGAGCTTATGAGTTTGAGACCAGCAAGAGCAAAACCCCATCTCTAAAAATAGCCAGTGTTGTGGCAGGCACCTGTAGTCTCAGCTACTCTGGAGGCTAAGGCAAGCGGATCACTTGAGCTCCAGAGTTTGAGGTTGCTGTGAGCTGTGACGCCATGGCACTCTACTGGGGGTAACAAAGTAAGACTCTGTCTCAAAAATAAATAAATAAATAAATAGATAAATAAAGTATTGAAAAAACATTTACTGAAGTGTATGCAGATTGTTTATTTCTAACTCAAAATGAGAGAAAACCGATGATGTATGTATTGAGGCCCATCTTTTAGGAACTTAGTTGAATTTATAATTTATAGGTCATAGATATGTCCAGATATTCTGTACCCAGATGAAACCTTTCTGTTAGAAGCATTCATTTCATAGAAGATTTGTTGCTTTAAAGCAATCATTCTTGATTTTTTTTATCCCTGCTGTGTTACCAAGGTTTGGGAAAACAGATACCAAGCCTAGTTTCTATTTTCTACAATGTTTCATTTGCAACGTGCTGTGCAATTTAATCTGTGTGGTTTGTAAATACGTGCTGAGTGTTTCTTCAATATATCCTTTGATCTTGTACAAACATACACACAAGAGCATTCGTGTCTTCAGGTATACCAGTGTTTCCAAATATGTGGGTGTTACAGATAATTTTCTTCATTTCTCATTAAAATCAGTTAATTTTCCAGTTGATGTTAAACCGTCAGAATCCATTAGTTGAAACATGAGCTTTTTAGTTATGAATTTCTTTACCAGGCGTATTAATACCAACTGACACATTTTTTTTTCATTAGTCTCAATTAACTAGAAATTTCAGCAATGCCATGAAATTAATTTATAGAAATTGCTCATCAGTCAGCTCATCCAGCTCCTGTTGGATAACCTAACCTTCACCTCATGCAGTGAAGCCCCGAGGGAAAGCTCTTGGCCCCCTAATACTAACCTGCTTCAAACCTAAGATGGATAGTATAGGTTCATTATAAATTATTAGAATTGGGACAAGAGGTCATGGAATACGTATAGTTCTATTTGGAAGTTGAACTATATTTTGCCTTAATAATTAATACAGTAATCATTTTTGCTTGGTTTTTGAATAATGTACATGACTTATTTGGTATAATCCCCTGCTTGTTTATATTTTACCTAAAATTCATGATTTGCCAAACCTTTTAGCTGTAAATAAAAAAAACACTTTGGGTGAAAAGAGACAATCAGCTGTGCACATTATATCAGGTGAAAAATTACTCAGGGAAGCAGAATTTTCTAGCATTTAATGTCATTGGCTTTAGACAGACTGCCTGGGTTCCTGTCCCAGCTTACTGCATGGCTTAAGGAAAAATTATTCAGCTTGTTGGAGCCTTAATCTTCTCAGTTGTAAAACAAGATTAATAATAATCCTAAGGTTGTTAAAACTAGATTGCACAAGGCATATAAAATGCCTAGCATTCTGTCTAATATTTAGAATATGATCAGTGCACATTAAGATTATGCATTACGTAACTGTATTTAACCAAGGTGTATAAAATAAAAACATCTAATGAGTCACAAATCCATTAAAAGGATCCTTTATTTTTCTACTTTTTAAACTTTGCGGGTGGCCAGCTCCTGTCCCACAGGCAGGAGAAGGCTGCTCAGGGCTGGTAGCTTATCCCCCTCTTTGTTGACATGACGGAAGTTATTTGGCTCAGGGACTTTGGCAAATGCCAAGTAGTTTCTTTCTTGAATGTGTTTTAGAGGTCAGTATATCCATGTCCTGCAAAAGCGAGAGGCAAGCAGGAGATTCAGGCCTAGTTCTCTATGGCCAGGTGCCTGTCACCCAGTCCCCATATATAGAGAAGTGAGCCTACTGTCCCCAGTCTCCTGGGCTCCCTTCTCTTGTGACCAAGCACTCAGGCAAGGTGTCAGAAAGCAGAGGCCAGGGTTATTTTGTTTAAAGACTAACATTTATTGAGTGCTTCCTACTTATGAGGCCTTGGCTAGGTGCTTTAGCTACAAGATAATTTGAGCTGCAGTAGCCCTGTAAGGCAGAAAGTAGGTTCTCTTTTTAATCCCATTCTAAAGATCAGGAAACTGAGTCTTAGAGAATTTAAGTAGCATGGTCTTATTTGTACAGTTATTGAGTAGCAGAAGCAGGTTTCACCTCATGCAGTGAAGCCCCAAAGGAAAGCCCTTGGCCCCCTGTCAAAGTGTTAGAGCTATAGACTTCCATGGGGAGGCCACTGACTCTGCCCTCTCATGCACGCACTTCACCTCCCTGTGCCCTGTTCACGTGAGTTCATCCAGCCACTCAGTGAGCATTTCTTTACCATCTGCTCTATACACGTGGTGCCATGAAATGAAAGAAAAACCACACAGACCGCCCTTTCTAGCTTATAATCCCAATGGGGAAAGGAAGATGAAATACGTGAATAATTTTTAAGGCAGGATAAAAGTCAGTCCAAGACAGAGTGAAAGGAGGACCAACTCCATTCCAAACAGATAGGGGCTACTGGCCCTCAGCATCTAATGAATGAAAAAACAAAATGTGCATATGGTTACAAGATCTGTGTCACAGTTAATGAATTATTTTATACTATGAGGATAGGTAGGGTTTGCCAATGTTAGGGGTTTATATGAAATTTAAAGTTTGTTAATTTTTTTTCCTCTCTCTCCAGCCTTCTTCAGAGTTCTGACCCAGAAATTGCAAACAAAGTCAAAGCTGGACTAAAAAGCCTGGTTCCCACTCTGGAAAAAAACAAAAACACCAGCAAAGGCATAGAAACTCTACTTGAAAAACTGAGTGCATAGGTAGAAAAGAGTTAAACGCAGGATGGAATGCTTTTTCCTGTTCTCTGCCTTCCCAACACAGAAGAGAATGGCAGGGGTTCAGCAGCAGCAGAGAAGGGCTGGGGTCACCTCACTGGTAATGTGGGTGCTCGGTATATGTGTTTCTGCTTTTATAAGTATCTATTTATAAAGTTGTTTTTAAAAATGGTCTTTTTATTTAAATCTGTACTATCTCCTTTGCCATACCAAATAGCAAGAAATAAGAACGTGAAGCAGGCATGTGGAAGGTGTAGCAATCCTGTGTGGCAGGACCGCTAGAATGTAAAGTGTGGCTGAGTGAGTCAATTCGGGGAGAAGCCATCCTCAGTGAGCAGTCTGAGAAGGCTTCTTGGAGGAGGTGGGCCGTGAGAGGGTGTCCTGCTGAAGGAGGGTAGGATGTGGGAAAGAAGAGCCAAGGAGAGTCTTTGGTGGGAGCAGCAAGATGGAAAGTTAATGGTTTTGAACTGAACTTCAGGAAGCCGTAGGCCTTTGATGGGTACAGGGAGCAGGATACCCGGCAACCATAGCAGCTGCATTCCTAGCTGTCTTGTTGATTAGGTTCCATGTTAGATTCTGTTTGAAAGCCACTGAGGTAAGTCAGTTAAGCTGTGAGGGAAATGTGCTAAATGAATTTGGAGATCACTGTGGATTGCAGTGTTAAGGTCAGGGTTATTGGGGAAATCTCCCTGTGCTTGTTTGTGGACCTTCCAACTTAATAGTTCCTTGTGATGAGACTTTCTCAGGACGGTCCCTAAAGTTGTCAAGTCCTGTAGAGTTTAAGGAAGAAGATGCAAATTTGTTATGGCACAGAAATATGAATTTTAAAACTGTGGTTGGCTTTTAACAAAGCTTAGGAGGATTGGTAGCTCAGTGGGGCTCATGCAACCATGCCTATGAATATCTGGCTGCTTTCGGTGTAGAGCCTTGGTCCTTTCTCTAAGCAGTCTGATGTAACAGGACACCTACTTAGGTCTGTCACTGCCATTATACCTGCTGCAGCATTCACATACCTTTCCTGTGTAGACTGTAGAGTCCAGGACTACTCCCAACCTGAAAGCTACCGGGACTCCCCCTGTCATGGTATATTGGACCCTTCCCAAAAAGCAAAAGAGCTGATGCCTATAACTAATTCTTTTAGCATGGATTCTCCTCCCAACTGTCAGCCAGCTGGGTATAGGGTGTGGGTGGGAGAGCTGGGGGACACGAGGTGGGATGGGGAAGGGGAAATGGGGAAAAGGCAACACTAGAGCTTGCTTTTGTTTGACAAATCCATTCTAATTTGTGTTCTGCACATGAACGGTCTCGGGGGTGAGGGGAGGATCCTGCTATTTGTTCCCTCTTTGAAACTAAATCAATAAAATAAATTACCAGGCTTAGGTATTTTCTTTTGATTTGTTTATAGAAAATGTAGCATAAGAACTTTTATCACTATACCTTTCTTCTTTCTCTCTTCCCAGTACAATTGCATTGCTTGATGAATTAATGTATAGAGTTTACATTATTATTTCTATTTCAATACAGGGTGTCCCCAGAGTTGCCATACATAGGGAAGATTTACAAAATATTTGTTACAGAGTTTTACCAAAATAATCTCTGTGTTGGCCACCTCTTTGTAGACTTTTATAATGAATATTTTGTAAAAGAGGGTACATTTAGTTAGTTTCCCATTTTCCTTATGTATGGCAACTTTATGGGAGACTTTTGAGACATTCTGTATTGTGAACTACTAAATGAAGGAGTGAACGATCCTTACATTTCCTCCTCGACTTTATTTGTTCTGGAATTGGTCATTGTCTTGTTTATTTTCATTTGCTTAGTTTCTACATTTCTGTTAAGTTTTCCCACATTTTTCATCAGAATTTCTTAAACTCTTCTCTCACAGGCACTGTTAGGTTTATTTTCCTCTTTTTTCAGTCTGCAAAGGTGCCTGTGTTATTCTGATGCCTACTCAGACATCCTGGGTATAGTTCCGTGTTTCCCAAGCAGTGTCTTGAGTAGGTTGTAGATGTGCCTCACCCACGTGTGTCTTGTGCAGAAGAAAACAGGTAGGAGCCGACCTGGGGCCCTAGTCCTTAAGTCAGCAGTGGGACTCACCCGCGGGGGCTGCACTAGCCCTGGACTTCTGGCTATGTGAGATAACAAAACCCCATTTTTTTGTTTAGGTCATTTTAAACCAGATCTTCAGAAACGTGCAGCCAAAGTACATTAACCTGACTGTCTCCATATATTAATTTCCACGCTTTCCAGTACGTCATCAATGGGCGTTCCCATGTACTCCTAGAGATGCCCTTGGCTGTGTGGATGCCCTGAAGAACTGCATCCATCACTGGGTCATCCTGAGCCTTCTTCATTCCTCTCCTGAGGAGAAGCCAGTTTCTCAGGTCCCGCGCATTTCTCTTCCTTGTTTAACACCCTTTCTCCCTGGGGCAACCTCTGCTAGCTTCCTTGGAAAGAGCGCACATGAGGTAAAATCATGAAGACCTTGCATGTCTGAATGTCTTTATTCTGCTCTCCCCACAGCTGTCTAGTTCAGCTTAATGTACGATTCTAGTTTTTTGTTTGTTTGTTTGTTTGTTTGCAGTTTTTGGCTAGGGCCAGGTTTGAACCAGCCACCTCCAGCATATGGAGCCGGCGCCCTACTCCTTTGAGCCACAGGTGCCGCCCCTAATTCTAGTTTTTAAAATTAATTTTTAATTCAGAATTTGAAGGTGTTGATCAGTATTGTCTTTAGATTGTAGAATTGCAGTGGAAGCCCAATGCCATCCTTATTCTCAATCTTTCTATGTGGCCCCTTGCAGGAGGGAAGGGCCTTTGTTGCAAATTTATAGCATTTTTAAATCACTGGCCTCTCATATTTCAGCATCATGTGAATGGGTGTGTGTCATGGATGTCTGCTTCTCATTCTTTATGCAGAGAGCTTGGGGAACCATATCAGTCAGGAAAGCCAAGCCCTTCCACCCTGGGAGATGTTTTTGTGTTTTTCTTCTGATTGTTTTTCAGACCTCTTCCTCCTGTTGTCTTCATTCTTTCTCTTTGGAACCTCTGTTACTCAGATTTTGAGTGCTGGTTTGATCCTCTAATCTTTCCCTTCTGTATTGTATTTCTTTGGCTTTTTGCTTGGTGTTCTGGTTGAGATTATTTTCTCCACGTTCTCTGACACCCTTTCCACTAAAGTGTCCTTTTCTTATTTCTTAGATGTAATATCTCTTATGTCTCTGTATATGTTGTATTTTATGGTTGGTTGGTTGTTCATTTTGTGTTACTTCGTTTCTTTGCTCTTTCTGTCTTTTCTGGTCTCTCTAATGGAGGCCTCCTAGAGGTCTTTGGCTATCTTACTTAGGACACTTAAAACCAATGAGGAAGGGACAGTTGCTTCCTGTCCTCTACTGTTGACTCTGTTTACTGTACCGGTGATTAGCTGCGGCTCCTGCTGTTTCTTGGGGCTTTCCAGATGTCAGTATCCATAGGCCTTCATCTAGGACAGCAGTTCTCAACCTGTGGGTTGTGACCCACAGGAACTATATTAGAGGGCCACAGCATTAGGAAGGTTGAGAACCCCAGATGTAGGAGAAATCCACCTGCAGTCAGTGTTTGGTTACTCATCACCCAGTGTGCGCATTTTAGTTAACCCACCTGTTTTCAGTACTGTGCCTTTGCCTCGAGCCCCATCATATCTGGGGCCTCTTAGTCTTGAAAAATTGAACTAGCTTAAGTCCACAAAATACACTGTCAGCCTCCTGCTCAGATGGGCAGTAGCAGAGTCAAGCAGTTTGGGCCAATCCCCCGTTTTCCATCCCAGCCCCCACCCCAGCCTTCCCCAGTGCCTGGTACTTCTCGCTGCAGGGATTTCCTGGTGTATCATGGTGAGAATCGACTTGTTTCTCTGCACGCGCCGGTGTACGGCTTCCTCCACTTTGCTGCTCGGTCCACAGCTTCCTTTTCTTCCAGATGTTTGTCGCTGTTATTTTCCCCCTGATAACTTCTCTCCTCTTTTCTTTCTTCCTGTGAGTTTCTACCATTTTTATTGTTTTATATTATTCTTTCTGAAAGAAATAGAGATAAACTAAACAATATACCATTTTTAAGCAGAAACCCACACGTGGCTTTAAGCCAACTAAAAATAACCTATTTGGCTTCAGGGAGGGGTTCGGCCCCCAAATATGGGATTTAAGAAAGTCATTAATTTGAAAATTCAGCTTATGGTAATTTTCAGTTTGCATCGGCCCCATGCTTTCCCCAGGGATCAGATGTTGTCTAGAGGGAAGGAGGACTCCATTTTCTGTGTAAGTCTGGTTTAATAAACATTTACATCATAGAATGAAGACCTTTTAGAGGAAATGGTTTCCTATATGACCAAACACAAAGGGGCAGCTCTTGAAAATATGAGGTGACACTTCTGTTTCTATTTTTGGATAAATTTTGAAAAGGTCACATTTCAATCATAGCAGATTAATCACTTTTAAGAATAAGTCTTGTGAAGATTAGGACATGTGTATTTAGAATAATGGTCAAGAGAACACAAGGTCTCAGAGCAGCAGCAGTTCTTACAGAGCCACTAATCAAACTGTCTCTAGACTAAAACTAATGAACTAAACAAACATAAAAATTTGCCACTTGAGCTCTTTTCTCACCTCTGATACTGCTCAATCTAAGGAAACTGAGTTTATAATCACCATTTCTAAGTTTAAAAACACCACTACTTAAGTACCCTAAATCCCCTTTTTTGCAAGAGAATTCTAAGATTTTTCAGTTGAACAGCCTTAACCAAGAGGAGTAATATGCCCTTGGATTGTGTGTTTTTGATGAATAATAACTAAATGATTGCATGTTTCTGCCCAAAACAGTGCCTTGGAAGATAACTAGATGCTTCTACTCCTGTCCATGTAATGGATGGTGTTTGGAATCTTATACCAACATGTTTTAGCCAGTTTCTAAACGTGGATTCATGCCCACTGCTAATGTAAGTGGACAAATCAGGCGGCAAAAGTGTGGGAATGAGAAATTTTGCTCCATGCTCTCTTGTTCTTAGGGAGTTAATTGTATCTCAGGAAGAAATGATTAGCTCTTAGTTGTGCCTGATACATAACGGAACATGAGAAGTCTGGTAGGATCATGAGAATCATCTGACTTTGAGCCCTTGATGACCACAATGAAGCATAATGAATAATATAGGTATTTGCAATGCCTTCCAGATGCTTGGAACCAGACTTTCCTTTTAGACTGAAATTCTTTTGCATTTTCAACTTGATCTTATTGATACACCTGCCAGTAAAGATGTACTGACTTGGCGTTGCTACATTCACCAGTAGGCAGTGATAGAAAAGGCGTGGGTCTTTTTTTTTTTTTTTTTCCTTCACTCTGTTGCCCTCAGTAGAGTGCTATGGTGTCATAGCTCACAGCAACTTCAGACTCTTGGGCTCAAGTGATTCTCTTGCCTTAGCCTCCCACATAGCTGGGACTATAGGCACCCACCACAACATCCAGCTATTTTTAGAGACGGGGGTCTCACTCTAGCTCAGGCTAGTCTCAAACTCCTGAGCTTAAGCAATGCACCTGTCTCGGCCTCCCAGAGTGCTGGGATTACAGGCACGAGCCACCGCACCCAGCCCAGAAGCTTGGATCTTAGAAGAGCTGTGTAACAAACAGCAGGAAAACATTTTTAAGGAAGCAGGATGGGGGTTTTGTTTTTCTGACCATATCAACTATTTGGCTCCATTTGTACGTTTCAGTATCTTAAGTCTAATTCTGAATGTAGATCTCTTGGTAATAACCTGGTGGACATAACTCTTTTATCTGGCCGGCACCTCTCTGGGCAACCTCCACCCCAAACATCTCAGTCATCTTTTTAGAGTGGGTAGAATCCTTATGATGTGCCTCAGCCAGGGGCACACAGGTCAGTCCCCCAAATCACAACACTGCATTCCCTACACCATGGCAAGCAGTTAGCGGATGAAGTGCTGATCTGATGCTCCTTATCCTACTGTGGGGCTACATCAGTGTTTTCAACCTTTTTTATTTCAGCACACTTGAACCTATAGTCAAACTTCAGCACACTTTAATTATGTTGATCAAAAAAAAAAAAAAGAGGAAAAGGATATACTTACTGTGCTTCGAACTTCTTTCAAAAATAATTAATGACCTTTACAATTTTTTGAGGCATATCT